ATTCTGAACGGCTATAATTAAACGTTGTTCTCCCACACAGGAATGGATCCCTTTAGCCGACTGGTTTCTCAATCTGAATTTGTTTTTTTATTCTTGGTTCTCTTTGCATTTCAGATTGTATGGTGGCCAATAAAACAATGTTTCCGAACTACTTAATTGAAGTTCTCAAATATTGAGTTTGACTTGCCTTTTGTGTGAAATGGTTTAAACTAAGCTGTATTACTGAATCTTGATGACCTGGTCTTATTTCTGGGAATATTTCCAGTCTATTCAATGTCATGAACTTTTTTTTCTTATGGTGTCAATTTCCCAGAAATATTGATCACACTAAATCTTTGACAAGCAATATGATAAAATATCCAGAGAGCTAAAGTTAATTATTCCAATGTCAAGACCTTTTAACGAGAGTTTCAATGTGTTTTCTTTCATTATAATTTGAGTTAAAGGTTGAAGAGATAACATTTATTGGTAACACTTTATTTTGATAGTCCATAGTTAACACTTTATAAGTCATCAGTTGACATTTAGTAGCATGTCAACAGTGCATCAGTTGACATGTATCAGTTGACATTCAACAGCACCGTTCAAACCGACTAACTAAGCATTAGTTGACGATCAACAAATAGCAACTAAAGTTTAGTTGACTATTACATTAAGCATTAGTTGATGATCAACAGATAAGCAACTTTAGAGTTTAGTTGACTATCTGTTGATCGTCAACTAATCTAGAGTTGACTATCAGTATACTTTTAGTAGGCATTCTCCACTAAGCGTTTGTAGCATGTGTTAGGGACTATCCAATTAAAGTGAAAAACAGTTGAGAAACAGTAGAAAGTCTATAACCTATCAACAGAACACATACATTCATCCACTAATTCCAACGTCCTCCCCCTGGTTCACGGTACGAACTCCGCCCCATGAAAACCTGCGGTCGACAGCTGGAGAGGACTATGGAGAGAAGCAGGCTCTCGCCGTCCACCTACTGGCCTTCAGAGAACACCAAAGTGCCTATGCTACTGCTCTAAAAAAACGCCCCGCTCTTCATACTACTCGTCAATAATAGACAACGGCAAAAAGCAATCCTAGAACCTTATTCTCCACTATCAACCGCCTTCTCAACTCCTCCAACACAGGCCCCCCAGCTGCCTCTCCAGAACTCTGTAATAACTTCTCTGCTTTCTTTAAGACCAAGATCGCAGATATCAGAGCAACCATTACATCCTCAACAGTAGCTCGGACCCCACCCACCTGCTCCTCCCTTCATCAACGGCATCACCCTCTGCAGCTTCAACGAGGGTGACGTCATCTGCACTGCTAGCCATCATAGGCAAATCGAAGCCTACCAGCTGCTCCCTCGACCCCATACCCACCCCACTGCTAAAAACCTGTTCGCCAACCTTGGTTAATTTCCTGACAACACTCATCAAGTCACTACAGACTGGTGAGGTGCCTGTCCATTTCAAAACAGCAGTTGTCACCCCACTTTTGAAAAAAACAAATATCGACGAGAACCTCCTCTCCAACTACAGACCTATCTCCAACCCTCCCGTTCCTGCCAAAGTACTTGAGAAGGCGTGGCCGCACAGCTCCAGTCTCATCTGTTGACAATAAAATGTATGAGACCTTCCAATCAGGTTTCCGCCCTGACACAGCACAGAAACAGCCCTAATAAAAGTAGCCAACGACCTGCTGATGGCAGCCGACTCTGGGTCACCCAGCATCCTGGTCCTACTTGACCTGAGTGCAGCTTTCGGACACAGTGGACCATTACCCCATCCTCCTCCACCGCCTCGAGACCTACACCAGGGTGACGGACCACAGCTCTGAAGTGGTTCTCCTGCTACCTCACCAACCGGAAGTACCCACGTGGCTCTGGGGGGTTCCAGCTCTGATGACACCGCAGTGAATGCGGGGTCTCCACAGGGCTCAGTGCTGGGGGCCGATCCTGTTTTTAATCTATCGATTACCTCTCTGGTCATATCATCAGGACAACATAACATCAACTTCCACTGCTATGCTGACGACACCCAGGTCTATATCAAAACACAACCCAATACCACCAATACTATCCAAACACTAAACACCTGCCTGGAAGACATCCGCTCCTGGATGACCACCAACTACCTCCAGCTCAACAGCAGCAAGACTGAGGGCAATCCTGATAGGCACCTCCGACCTAGCTGCCAAGGCCGCCAACATCAGCCCCTCACTTGATGGTCAGCTCATTTCGCTCTCCTCCGTGTCACCAACCTTGGTCTAAGGTTTGACCCCACTCTGTCTTTCAAGCCCACATCAAACATATCACCAAGACCTCCTTCTTTCACCTGAAAAACATTCCTGACTGAAGCCCTCACTCTCAACTGATGACACCAAAAAACTGGTTCATGCACTCGTCTTCTCAAGACTAGATTATTGCAATGCACTCCTCTCCGGTCTCCCAGCCAAATCCATCAACCGCCTGCAAACTTGTCCAGAACAGTACAGCCAGAGTTCTCACCGGTACAAAAAGGTCCGCACCCATAAAACCCCCATACTTGCCACAACTCCACTGGACTCCCAGTCCACTACAGGATCCAGTTAAGGTTCTTGCTCCTCACTTACAAAGCCCTGAATGGACAAAGCCCCAAAATACCTCTGTGACCTCATCCGTACCCAGACATCTACCCGCTCTCTACGCTCCAGCCACGCTTTTCCTTCTTTACATCCCCCCGCACACGTCTCCGAACAATGGGAGACCGAGCCTTCTGCTCATTCGCTCCCGCGCCTCTGGAACTCCCTCCCAGATCAGCTGAGATCTGCCCCTTCCACCGAGGTCTTCAAAACCCGGCCTTAAGACCCTCTTCTTTCGGCAGGCCTTCCAATAAAACTTTGAGCATGGACACCTGGAGTATTGCCATTTTTATTGCTATCTCCGACTTTTATTTTATTTATTTATTTTATTTTATTTTATTTTTAATTTTTTTTTTTTTTATAATTTGTATTATTATTATTTGTTTAATCTCTCAAATTGTATCAGTGTCCTTTGCTGTGAAGCACTTCGAGATTTGTCTTGGCAGATGAGAAGTGCTATATAAATTCAATTTATTATTATTATTATTAATTATATGCAACAGACATGGGAATAAAGCGAAATGTTTTTGCACAACTGATCACGAACACTGGATAACTGAAGTCAATACCAGGCTATAAAGCCACAGTAGAACAAACACTATATGCAGCATATCAGAGAAAGAAAGCTTATTTTATTTTAAGAATATACTACAAATATAGTAAAAACACTGAACAGTTGTGAAATGGTCCAAAATAAAGTTTTGAAACACATTATCTACCAGCTGGTAGTCAATACCAGGCAAACGGAAATAAATCAACTGCACTGCAGATTTGAACAGTTTAATAACTATAAATAAAATAAACAACGACACCTGACCAACAGAAGAACATTAAATTATTGATCTACCCTGAGGCCAAGGTCAACCGTTAAAGGTATAATATGTAGGAATTTCCTAAAAAACAATGTATAGATAGAAGTGTGTGATGGTGTCTGTATCTACAGAGACCCTGCCCTCTGCCTGTATTTTCTCTTCTCCTTGTATTTTACTGTGTTCAGAGACGTTTATTGGGCGTCAGCAAAGAGCCTTTGGCTCCAATGTGTGTGTCTAACCCCCAGCCAATTACCAGGGTGTGCAGCTCCATCAGTAAACAACAGCAATTAGGCTACAGAAAAGGTCCTAAACTGATCTGTGATTACCATCCCGTATGTCCTTGATAAGTCTTACCAAGTACACCATGTGTATATGTTCTTGCTAACCAGTAGGTCCACTCATAAGGAGAGCTGGTTTTTTAAGGTTTTAGGTCTTCTCAGAACGATTCCCCCGCATACGCCAAACTTCCCTCTTGTATGTCTGCCATGCTCTCTCAATATTTTGAGTATGTAGTCCTGTTTGTGGATCAACATAATTTCTGGCTGTGGTTGACCCTGACATGCCTGTAGCCCTCTTGAGAAAGACTGGCATATGCTCTCCACTCATCACTCACAACAAAGACTTTGAGGCTTGATATGCTTCTTGATGATGGGAACAAGGGGTCTCCTGTTTCTTCTCTTACTAGGCGAAGAAATGGACGTCTGCTTGCAGCTTTGATCTCGAGTATACCAAACACCCAAGATCTTCTTTCTTTTCCAGGTGTTACCAAAGCGTCCTCTTCCATACTACCAAAAAAACAGTGTGAACATAATTACAAAATAATCTCTTGACTTTATGTTGAATCAATCTATTGTTAGTCAGGTGTTAATTACCTTTTCATTTAAATCTGTTTTAAATTCCTTTTAACACAGTAAACATGCTTACAAAATGATTTGCTGGAAATGGATAATCTTCTCAAGGTCTAACCCGAAGGTTATCTTTTTTCTCCTCGACAGTTCATGGAATTTGTGCTTTTATTTTTGTCACTATGACCACATAGTGACAAAAATAAAAGCACAAAATCTTGACTGAAATTGATTGAAAACAAATCTTGTGCACTGCAATGCAACTTCAATTTAGTCTTGACTCTGGCTTTGTGTGAATATTTAGTTATTTATTCATAATGTATGTAATTTTTGAGTTAGGAACACCTGTTCCTGTTTTATTTGACTAATATATAAGATAAATACAGAAGCCTAATGCATTCACTTGAGGAAAAAAAGGTTTTCACAAGACTTTTCCCTGGAATTCTGAGATAATAATCTTGCTAATTAAGAAAAAACATTATTTATGTAATTGGACTTGCCCTAAATTCCTTTTTTCAATGTGCGTTTGTAAATAAGTACCACTTAAGCACCAATGAGAACATGTTTTAAGAACTCATTAATTTGTAAATTAATATCACATTTTCCTGAACTTTCTATAAATACGTTTTGGAAAACTTAATGAAAATGCTTTTGTCAACGCCACGGTCATGCCACGCCCTCAAACGAGAATACCCGCGGGTGTGAGACTTCCTGTTCCTCTTTACAGCGGATTCTTCGGCAGTTGGACACGTGTTTGCGTTGGATTCTCTTCAAATCATCTAAAACAAGTAAGCATACCACCTGAGTTATTAATTACTGCTTTTTTAACTAGCAAGTGTTATTTACTTTTCTTGTATTCACTGTTTTGAACGGAACATCGACATGCCAGCGCCATTACTGCTGTTAAAGTTAGACTCAGCCCTGTTGTGCTCATGTAGTCTATTTTTTCGCGCAAATGGTGTTGGGCAAAGTTTGCAATCAAGTGCCTACCGACACAATATGTGGTTAAGTTAAGAGCACGTATTAAGAATCAACTCCGCAAACTGTTCCCCTGTGCCGCTCTAAGCGTTTGCCGGGCACCGTGATACAGCCGCGGGGCTCAGAGGCTCTGCTGCATGTTGTGCGGTAAAATACCTCCGCTAAGCTATTCCCTACTACTTTATAACCCAGCGGTTATGTAAGAGTAAGTCACTAATGCGCCGATTTGATATTTATTCCTTTGTATGTATTTCACCGTTTGTTTTACTGTGAGCAATTAATTATCTTTCTACAATCTTAGATGTGTAACCCAATTTAAAACTCAGTCTGCAGTTACAGCATCGAGTTGTTATTATACAATATGAAGTGCAACTAAAACTATATTTTTCATGCTTATGCAACGCTATAGATGCAAATCCATGTTTGAATCTGCAGGAGGAGAGACGTTAGCTCTCTTCAGTTAAGGTGCATTCAGGGCGGCAATTCAGTAAAATTGTGAATTGGGGCGAAGATGGATTTATAACGCAGCAAGATGTGTTCAATGTAGTACAGTAAAATGCAGTCTTTAGCGAGAAATATCAATAATACAGTTTTATTAAGGAGATGTTTTACTACAACGTAAATAGATATTAGACAGTATGCAAACAAAATAAAGGAGTGTATATTGAAGTAATTAGGATCCGCTGTGCAGAGAATCATCGAATTGTACTGGTATCCAACCAATACTATCCTTAATAAAATGCCATCCTTATAAATGTATATAAATACAATACCGTTTTAAATGATACTTATATTTTAATTATGGTTGATTCAATTAATTGAATTAAATATGTTTAATGAATTCTACTGAAATGATTGTTACATTTTCATCATGTAACTATTTTGTTCTTTTATTTGCCTCCCCCAGAAAACAGTCCCACCTCTTCTTGAAGACATTTAGCCTCCTGCTATCGACTTCAGGTTCACATTAGGTAAGCCCCTTGAGGTGTCAGACTAGAGTTGTTGTTTCAGAGGTTAATTCAAGACGTGTTATGTTTACATACTAATATAATGAGCATCAGGTAAACGTACCCATTTCTATTTTTTGAATCACAGATGGGATGGAGATGTAAACTATGCAGCACTAGTGTCACCACTCAAATTGATATTTTAAAAACATTATCGACTCCATCATGGAACCTTTGGACAGAAACGTGCCTTGCCCTGCATTCATGTAGACTGGCCTGCGCTCTCACTTATCAAGATAAAAGTTGAAATAATCGTCTGTTCTTTTTATTCTAGGACCCATGTGCCACTTTATATAAATCCTCTGAGCATGAGGTGGGGTTAAAAATATGTAGATGGACATTTTATGAACTATATCAATATCATGACTATGTAGTTCATTTTCTTGCAAACCAGCCCTTTTTTTGATGGCTTAAACCCCTTGTAATGCATGTGAATAGCACCTCTGTTACCGTCTGTTAACAGCTAATGTAAACTGTCTCGTTATGATTTCAAGACGGATGTGATTTTTGTTGTGAGGAAAAACACATGGTGTGTCCTGATTTGTACTCAATTTAGTGTTTCATTTTGTATACAGGGAACAGCAGAGGTCTAAGTGCAAACAGGCTCGTGATGCACAGCATGAAGTTATACGTTGCCCACGAGCCAGATGCAGTTGGAATAACCATCAAGTAATAACCATGTGTCTCCATGTATGTTCATGTGTTGTGCTTTTAAACAAACTGGAAATAATCAAATTTTAATCAAATGTATTAACATATTCTTAAAATAAAAAAGCTTTCTTTCTCTGATATCCGCCTATAGTGTTTGTTTTACTGTGCTTTATAGCCTGGTATTGACTTCAGTTATCCAGTGTTTCTGATCAGTTGTGCATTCAATTAGTGGATGAATGTATGTGTTCTGTTGATAGGTTATAGACTTTCTACTGTTCTCAACTGTTTTTCACTTTAAATTGATAGTCCTAAACACATGCCTACAAACGCTCAGTTGGAGAACCTACTAAAAGTATAACTGATAGTCAACTCTAGATTAGTTGACGATCAACAGATAGTCAACTAAACTCTAAAGTTGTATCTGTTGATCATCAACTAATAATGTAATAGTCAACTAAACTCTAAAGTTGCTTATCTGTTGATCATCAACTAATGGTTAATGTAATAGTCAACTAAACTCTAAAGTTGCTTATCTGTTGATCATCAACTAATGTTAATGTAATAGTCAACTAAACTTAGTTGCTTATCTGTTGATCATCAACTAATGGTTAATGTCCTCTTTAGTTGACATCATGACTCTCAATAGATAGTCGACATGACTCTGTTGACTTTCAACTGACAGATTGATTTTGAGTAGTTGATTGTCAATTTTGAAGATGTTGACACAATCTACAGATAGTAAGGTTGAATATCGGTTAATAACCTGTTGCAAAAAACATGTTGACAGTCAACAGAGACTTTTTGTAAAATCTATAGATCAACACTTGAGATGTACCTTATATTCTCCTGGCAGTTAGTTGAATGCATGTTACTTGTCTGTTGAAACAGTGTTGTTGAATGTCAACTGATGACTTATAGAGTGTTAACTATGGACTATCAAAATAAAGTGTTACCCATTTATTTTCTTTTTCACTGACACAGATATAGATATAATAAAAAAGACTATCTGTCCAAGCTCAGCTTTGGTAAGGGAGATACGAGACAGGCAGAGAGAAAGAGATGGAAGTCAGAGAGGAACTGCAGGGACAGCCTTCTGAGCCCGGGGTTGCATTGACTTTCTGTTCAACACAAACTATGTAGGCTTAATAACCCCATATATCTATCTGCTAAGTGAAATGAACTAAATTACTGAATTGTTTTTAATACACTGGCAGGAGTGACAAAGGAGGAGCATACAGTTAGAGTGATGAGTAGAGGACTGAGTAATGAACAGAAAGAAGACGAAGAGATTACTTTTCAAATGTTTTGTGAGCATGTTAGCCTCTTCATGTCCAGATTATAATGTGGATCATTATTGGTAGCAATCAACTGATTCTCATGCATTACACTTTCAAATATCATTTATGCTGCAGCCCACTGACATGGTGTGAAATCAATATATTATCCAATTTGCGGCCCCACACAGGACTTGACAGATATCTAGCCACTAGCATGTTTTGGACCTCGGTATTTACGAAATCCTGGATACGGGCCTGCACACAGACACCAGGAGTTTCACCGCCCTGATAACGTTTTATCAGGGCGGTGAAAATAACGTTTTTCCAGCAGAAACAGAAAGCTCTATAATGATGAGAACATAACTCAGTATTGAGGATAATTGCCAGCTGATGCCGTCTGCACATCACAGATGGAAAGCACCCTGAAGAGAATCGCTTCTGGGAAGCTGGGTACCATATCCGCCATCATGGTAGAGTTCACCTACAATATTCTGCTTGAAAAGGACTTTGCGTGCGATTGCGAACCACAACACTCAGGCTGCGACTCGTTCATTGTTCTGCCAGTCTTAATAATGACTTTCTTCACACTGTGGACAAACCGTTATTTTCAAAGTGCCTGGAGAAACTGGTGCTCATGCACTAAATGCCACGAAGTTCCTTGGTGTTTTATTTCCTTCACATTCTCAAGGCTTTTTTAGTTGGTCTGCTGTGGGTTGCTTTTGTGCTCCTTGATGGAGACTGGTATGTTTGCTGTAAGAATGACGGCTCTAAACAACAGGTACAGTTAGCCTCAACCCGGTATCACGGCAAGACGTGAAGATGTGACGATCTACCATGCTGGGAGACGTGAATATGTCACGGTTTCGTCCCTTCAAATGTGACAGTTACACAGTATTGTTAACATGGCCCAACCAGTGGAGAAATACCCAGAAGTGCCAAGCAAATGGTCTACCGCGCCTATTGGTCGTTTTTTATTGTCAAAATTAGATGTTTTTAATTTATTTTTTAATCGTCACACTCTATTTCGTCGATTTTCTTGTTGCCCTAGCTGGTCGACACCTCTTTTAGCAGAAACAAAGGCTAAAAAAAAATATTAAGAGTACATACAAAATAGGGGGAAAGTAGAAGGTCAATGATAGAAATATAGAATAAAAAAATCAAGAAGATACTGTAAGTGATCTCTACAATAAAACAGTTTAGTGCTGGATGTACAAAGATATTAAAGGTAGGGTAGGTAAGTTTGAGAAACCGGCTCGAGATACACTTTGTGTTATATTCCATGGAATGCTCTTAACATCCCGATAGCAATGAATATCTTAAGTGCTTTGACAAAAAATCCATAAAATGTCATCTGTGGAAGCCGTAGTACTGTAAAAGCACGACCAATCCTTTTAGCCGGCCCGGCTAAAATAACTGGATGGCCTACCTGCCTGTCAGCCTTCCATCTGCGCACAAACTTATCTCGTGCCCTCATTGGTCATGTGCGCGTTCGTGTGTGTTCGAGGAGGGGCTCTGTAAGGAAGTGGCAGTTTTTCCGGCTGTGTATTTTCAAATTCTAGCGATCTCGAGCTGTTTTCTCCAAAATGAACGACCCCACCTTTAATGCTGCCCATTATGGATACAAGCGATTTTCACCCATTTAGTACTTAGCCTACATGTTTTACATTTGTACACACCAATTTGTTTCCTATCGCCTAAACCTCCAGGGCTGTACACAGTTTAATACTGTCAACTTCTAATTTTGGGAAAAACGAAAACGTCTGCCGTGGTTTCGTTCCATTTCAAAGAGCTTGACGCTCGGCGTAACCTTGGCGCACTGCCACACCGTCACTTTACAGCCCCGCCCACTTTTGGGGAAACCAACGCTGTCATTTGAACGGCGATCAAGCCTGGAGCCACAGAGATCTTCTGTTACTGTCCTTTCTTCTTAGAGGAAGTACAGAAACACGTAACTCTGGATTTGTTTTAATGTTTGAGGTGCAATAAACGACACAGCAGCTTTTTGGCATGATAAAACTATTACTTTCTGCCTCGCTCATGAGAGTAACAGCTGGAGAAATTACAGCCTCGCCTACTGATTTTAATTTAACCATATATCGAGCCCGATTCTCGATTTCAAATGTGTGCTCTAAAATGATATTATAAATGACTATTATCATTATTATAAGCAAGACAATAAATGGCAAAGATATGTAGAGAATAAACATATTAAGAGACGTTCATAACAAACGTAACGGGGAGAAAATAGCTTCTAGCTAAACGTAATTGAGAATGCAGTTTAGTTCTGTGGGAACGTAATTTTTAGGAGACAGGGTTGGCGTAGTGGCTGCCACACATTCCTCCATGAGGCAGCAGCAATGGCTGATGGGAATTCTGCTCCACTGTTGCCAGGGACGTGCACAGACATTTTGGGGGGCGGGAGCTCAAGTGAGAAAAAGGGCACTTCCCATAATCATTCATAAAAAAAATGTTTAAAACAAAAAGTTAAATGTAATTGCACATCTCTGACTTACTAACGTAGGTATATTGACTTGGAAGCTTGTTATGGTTGGGCTGATTTGAGAAAATTGCCTTTAAGTAGTTTAATCTGAATTGTTGTATTGTTTTATAAATAGTGTTGTATGTAAAATAATCAGGTAATTGTTGAAAAATAAATTCAGTAGAATACAAAAAAAAAGAAGCAATTGGGCAGATAAATAAAAATGTACTTGAATAAGTGCACTAGAAATTATCCAAATGAAAACTCTACAATGAAATTGCAAGTATGTGAAATGACATCCCAGTATAAGTAGACAGATGCTGCCCTGCTCTCACACAGGTGTTGCTCGTTCAGCTAATTTGGCAGGGAGTCTACAAATTGTGCCACTTCCTGTGTGATCCAGATCATTCAGTCATGGGGACTCAACTCTACCTAGGTGTGATAGTCGTGACTCTTTTTGCAACGACTGTTGCCAATGCAGGTATGCTTAGCACATGTATGTAAACATCTGCTTTTGTTGGGGAATGTAGGGAAATATATAATAATGATTTTTTTTGCAGAAATCAAAGTACAGTGTGAAAAAGACTCCATAAGCATCACATGGACGATCCCCTCGACGCTGCGGCAATATGCAGCTCGTCATCTTCCTCGGAAACTGCAAGCCATCTAGGTTTAATGTTCTGCCCAGCGGAGAGGGGAAAGCTGAGTTTAACTACAAACTAGCTGACTGCAATTTTAAAAGACTGGTAATGTAACTGCCATGTTTCACCAAAATACCTCTCAGCCTTTTCAATGTCATAATGAGCTTCTTTTTTCTTTTCAGGTGAAAGGGAAAAATCTCCTCGACAAAAATGAGCTGACTTTCAGGCCCAGACCAAAGTCGAGTCCTGCAGCTTATGTGTATCCCATTGAGTGTGTTTATCCAAGGTAGGAGTTGCTTTCTTATTTAAATTCAAGTTTAAAGCTGATATATGGGATAAATGTTGTTAATATATTTCAGACCTAAGGAGTGGTCTCCTCCTTTCCTGAACCCGGGGTCAGGTGTTGCCGAAGGCCGAGGAGGGCTGAAGTTCCACATGCTGCTCCTAAATGGTGAGGGCTCATGCTCCCAAAGGCAAAACACTCAAAAAATGCACACTAAGCCGTTTTTACTTTTCCCCTTTTCAGAAAAATTAACAGGGGTAGCGGAGACAAATGTCATCCCCCTGGGCTCCTTCATGCCAATATGGGCAACAGTGGAGCAGA